ATATATATATATATATATATAGCTTTGTTTTTCGCTAGATTTTACTAATAGTATAGTATAGTTCAGTTTCAGCTCTTTCTACAGATAAAGTCAAGCACTTAGCATTCATGCTACTTACAGTACTACTTAGTTCAGTTTTCATTCATATAAAAGCTGAAATTTAAAATCATTTTGTGGAAGGAATACCACAGTGTCTGTATTTAGATCAAAGAATTGTTTCATGTTTATTATTATTGAAGATCTCAGTGTTATTTAAAAAGCTAAATGTGTTCAGAGCGTACTGAGGAATGTGACGTTGGAGTGTAGCTTCGTAAGKTTAAACATGCTCTGCAACCCTACCCTATTTGAAACAACAGACTGCTGACCCCACCATCTTGACCCTGTTACTGCCCCCCCCCCCCCACAGATCCTCCCCTGTTATTCCTGTCACAGCGATTAATAGCAGCGCCCGGGCCATTATTCTCCTGTGGCAGAAAGGCAACCGGATCTTATGGTTTCGATCAAGCCAGAACGTCAGCGTTAACTTCACCCGGTTCTGCAGAATTCACCCGAACCCAACCCCTGAGGCCTCTGCTGCCTTATCATGAGCCTGTTTCTGAGTACCACAATCAGGAAACACGACATCTGCTTTCAATTGGGAGCGTTATTTTACTCCCCCACCCCTACTCCAGCTCAAAACACACTCAATTGCCTGCTAAGGTTTCCCTGCATTAAGTTCAGTGAGCCTGTGTGGTTTGAATGCATGCTGGGTAGAGCAGATGTGAGCACCAACCACTGATTTTCGTCCAGCATTTTTATTCAAACTGTAATTGTCAACAATCTAACAGAGTCATGAGTTGCTGTCACATGAGTGGGTGGTGTTTAAGAAAACAGGAAAACTAACTCAAGATGTTGGACTTAGTTGATTTTGTTTTTGAGACATTGATCAGTGCCTTTAGTTGTTTTGATTTTTGGTTGTTGTTGTTTTTTTTTTTTGTTTGTTTGTTTTGTAAGTTTTGCAGTCTGGCAATTTCTGCCCCTTTTCCTTCCTACTTTTATCTAATTAGCAGATCAGGACACACATCTCASCTTATCTTACAATTCCAGATGTTAACTTATTATATTTTGCTAAAYGCACCAAAAAATGCAGTAAACAAGAAAGTACAAAGACCCAGACTGAATTTGGAAAGCAACATATTTGACTATATAGAAGAAAAACACTTCCCSGCATGATGGGACAACTTTATATATGTTTAAATGTATGTTTGTGTGTTTCTCTGTGCGTGTGCACACAGATGTCTGCTTGCCACAGCTGGCTGACTCGACCCTGAAATTTAGCTTGGCGCAACCCGGAGCCGCGTTGTTTGACATTGTTTCTGTAAATCTTTGCTGCATCTGTTACATCAATGACGACTACGAAAACAATGATTCCTATAATTACACACGCCGGGGTYGGCAGCGAGGTTGGGCAGGGTTCACTGCTTAACCAGAGAGCCTCCTTAAACCACTTCACAGCGCGGGCAGAGCTCAAACGGTTATTGCGAAACACCGTAGAGTTTGGTTGGCATTTGCTGCTGAAATCTTCCAAGCAGAAAAGATTAGAGTCGTATCGCTAACAGCACAGTCAGTGTGAACACCTTCAAGCTTTTGAGCAGTGCTTCATCTCGTATCATTTGCTTCTAGACGTCTCAAAAAAATGTCTCAACAAGGCTTGTTCGCTGGGTTTTTGCACCGGCTGTCTAACTTACAGAATCAGACTTTGCTAACCACGGTGTCTCCCCCAGAGGAAGGCATTTGCTTATTTTCTTTTCTGTCTGTTAGCTAAAACTGAGTAACGACTGAAAGGATTTAAAGGGGCAATATCATGTAAAATTAACTTTTTTGAGTTTTATATCAGGTTATAATGTTATACTCTCATAAAAAAAACATGCCCAAAACCTTGCTTTGACTCATTCATGCATGTTTGAGAAATCCTGCAGCGTTTTTAGGAAGCCATGCTGAGGAGCAAAACGACAGGTGGAGACTAGAAACGCCTTTTGGGACCAGAAACTCCCCTGGGACATATCTTTAAGCCGAACTTCCTCATCATGAAGCACCCCCCAGCCCACACACCCCGCCCATGACTCCTGCAGGCTCTCGGCAGTAACAAAGCAAAGTGAAAGTGAAACGTAACTGTCTGCTGCTCTCAACACTACTTCTCACTCAGTGGAGCTCTTTTCAGATTCAAAATACCTTTGAGGAAATTTATTTTCAGATGCCAAGTAAACTGACGGGACAGAAGCAGAAGGTGGTTCTTAAAGAGACAGAGGCCAATTTCAAGATGTTTAGAAGAGGAAGTGATGAGAAGATAAGTTTATTTCCTATTTAAACATAAAAACAGCATTTTAATAACAGCTAAAGGTGACACAGATACTTTATTATGGTATAGTATTTAAATGTATGCCTGAGAAACGCATAATATTGCCCCTTTAAAAAACTCATGCAGTCCGTCAAGAAATGCTAAGAGTAAAACGGGGACATACCGATGCAAATTCAGTAGCTTTTGCAGCACGTTGAGATAACTCAACCAGTTTTCTTCGAAAATGTCCAGATAATTTGCAGTTATGACGGTGAGTAAATTCATCACCAAATCCTCCAGAGGATTTTATGACAAGCAAGTTTGTGTCCTGCTAAGAACTGCAGCTTCTTGCATTTTTCAACAGATATTTATGTTGTTCGTAGCGCTGACTTGTGAWGGTTGTGGATTTAGCACTGACATCACCTAAACAAGTCATCAGGGAGTCTCATCGGTCATTCTGAACAGGCTGTAAAWAAGAACACCTCTGYGTCCTGGTCAGAAGCCATTCTGTAGTATTTCCAGCTGAGAGTCCAAACAGCCATCASAGCTTCTCCTGTTGTGCGAAAAGCAACAGGAGAGAATAAGTTCTGTCTATGTTCTACTTGGGAGGCACGCTGCSCAGTGTTTAGAGCTGTAACTGTAGAAGGTTGTGTGTTCTAAGCTGACTGACTATTTTGTGGAGTTTGCCCGTTTTCATTGTCCATATGGGTGCTCCAGTTTCCTCTCCTCATAGGTGTCAAGTAACTAAGTACAAATACTTTACTTAAGTAGAAATTTTGTTTTTTATACTTTAGTGTAGTAGTTGTTTTTCAGCCTACTTTTTACTTCTACTCCTTACCTTTTAATTCAATTATCTGTACTTTCTTCTTACCTTTTAATTCAATTATCTGTACTTTT